TCATATGGAATCTAAGTCACCCACAAACCCATCGCCTAAGGGGACTTCTCTCCAAACCCAAGGAGAGAACGATGGAGAGGATGAGCGTCATTTAAAAAATAAACCGCAAGAACTGTTGAAAACACTGTATCGACAAACTGGGAGAAAACTGTCAACAACGATCCGTGAACACCAATCGACAGTCCGGAGATTTGACCCACTATCGTTGATCTCCCTCCACGAAGGTCAAGAAGGACATCAATTTGACTTTTAATCAGTAAGAATTATCGACCAAGCCCGGTCAAAACAAGCCGAAGAATTTCTCGAGGCCTGGCACTTCAATCAACTCAATAAACAGGCACACCGAATCGGATCACGTGTACACGCCGATGCAACTCAAGGACCAAATGAAGCAACAAAAAAGGTCATGTCGTGACCTGAGAACGGACGGAAACCGCAATCAGGACGAAAGGACAACCTCCTTTCCTCGCACCAGTTCAACGGCGAACCGAGTCGAACACAGTGAGAACAAGGGACAAAAATAATCAGTGGAGAACACAAACGATCGGGACAAGCGGAACACTGCCACTTCACAAGCACTAATGATGTCACCTCGGCTGGAGATGAAACGTTTGCAAACAATTGCCAGGCTCCTTCAACAGGCGAAATGGAATTCAGTTTACCCGAGCTACGAGAACCAATTTCCAATATCACTCAGTGTCTGTAGCAATTGACTAGTTTTTCCGGAGGTCCCCAACCAGGGAGCCTAACGGGACCTATGTAACCTATGTAACTCCTGGTTAGGGTTTTCATACCCTCATTCTGTGTCTTAGCTTAAGCACTCTGGGCTTTATTCCACCCACTACCTGCCTCGGCGAACATCGCTCGCCGTGGTGACATGCGTAACACATGATCCAATCAACGTAGTCTATGGAGGTCGACCACTTGCTCCAGTGGGCGACCGCGGTTACCCAAAAATCTGCGCCTGACCTCAGCATTGCTCGTCCCACCAGGTTCGTGCAATGCTGCGTAGACAGCGGTGTTCAAACACCGACAGCTTATTTTCGTTCTGTTTCCTTAATGGCCAAGTTTCTGCACCGTATAACAAAACCCATTTGGATAACCGTCTTTTCCATCTGTCTAGTTCTCAACTTCTATTCTAGGCCATGTCTCTTTGCGTCTCCAAACCAACGTCAATCCTCATCCGTTAGGCCTCAACATAAAAGATGGGCTGCACCAACCGTAGCCAAAGCTAAAGCTTCCTCATACCTCTACTCTATGTCAGGGTCTGACCACCGCGGCGTTTCTTCCAGCCTTGCCTAACACACGCAGAGTACGGAATGATATTCAATGGGCAGGCATACGCAAAACGTTACCAAGCTGTCGGAGGCGGTGTACAGCGGTTGCTTCTTTTAGAGAACGATTATCCACACTCAATACATGACGACGAACTTCATTGCTCACCTGACGTTCCCGCCAGACACGGGCAATGCTTCAGAAATATCCATGGTAGAATATGTGAGGTCGATTAGCGTCCTTAACCAGAAGCGGCCAGATCTTGCAAACGTAAAGCAGAACACTACGAACCGCGGCAATTTACACGCATTAAGGGACAGTTGGATGTCATGGCGGTGCCACAAGTGTCACAGGTTGGCAAAAGCTGTTCTAGCTTTCGCTATTCGTGATTTGATCTCCTCCCCAACACCACCTCCATTTGTGATTAACCTCCCGAGGTACTTAAACCTCTCAATCACTTCCAGCTGATCAACACAAAGGGTGAGTACAGACACAGGCTGCTCCTAGTCTTGATCAAGCATTTTATACTTGGATGGTGCAAAGCACATCCCATATCTCTATCGCCAAGTGGTTTACTGCTTGTTGGACTACCTCTGCGTTACAACCCAACAAGGCGATGTCGTCGGCGTATTCTAAGTCAAGGACTCTACCTTAAGAGGAGTTCAACCCCACAGGCCGCTAGATCGAACAAAGCATTCTGTGCAACATCCTCTATGACAAAGTTGAAAAGGAATTGGGTTGTAGTGCAGCCTTGTCGAACTGCACTGGAGACGGCGAAGGGTGGCGAAAGCTGACCATAGGCCCTAACTCGACATGAGGTGTGACGACACCACTTTGAAGACGAACACCTACTTCTCAGGTGCTACATTCTTCAACAAACAGTTTTATCGCTTGCCGTGGCAACCTATCTGATAGTAGTTGTCAATTGGTGGTTGCTGCTTGGCGTTTTGTTATGTTTTTCGTCTATTTTGCTAAATTTTCCCCCCTAAGGACTCATTTGACTGATTAGGATGTTGGTTTGTTGTACCGTTTCAAAGTTGAAGCTAGCTCTTCTTTCTTGATTGAGTGATTTTAGCTATATGAAGTGCGTTTCTAACAGGCGCCGTAGATCTGGACATGCTCTTTACCGAGCGTTCGATGGTCAAACGTTTCGAAACTGTTGATAGACGCTGCCATCAAAGCACAACTTTTCTTAGTCGTCTTTGATTTTTAACCCATCGCCATTTATTTTTTCCCTTGATTTGAATTTAGAGTTGTAAGGTGATTTGTTTTCGACTTTTTATCGTAAAGTAATGGCGCAACTGGTTTTTCGCTCTTTTTATATCTTGAAGGATGTCATGATTGTTGGCGAGCCAACATTAATGGGTGGTGACTTCGGGGATGAGGATGAGCGTCTAATCACCCGATTAGAAAACACCCAGTATGATGCAGCCGCTGTGTCCGCCAGTCCACACATGCATCCCAATTTTCCATGTCCGAATGATGGACCTCCGGGTTTAATCTCATCGCCTATTGGCACCGGCGGTCCGGTGAATAATGCACCGGGACCACATCCCCTCTCGTCCATGCATTTCCGAGGACCTCCATCCGGTGGCCCCGCAACTCATCCCGGCATGATGTCAAACGAAGGCGTGTTCTCAAACAGTCTTCCCCCGATGCCTCCCCATCCCTCTTCCGTACCAGTCTCCATGATGCCCGGGCAACCACCGATTCCATCTTCAGCTCCCGGGCGACCTATGGTACACAATCCGGGTATGATGAGCGGACAGCCATACGCGGGCCCAATGCCAACTAAGTCATCTATATCAGGAGGCAATACCCCATCCTCACGAGGTAATTTACACTTATCTTAATCTTGTATCTGGTAGTGTAGGGGGTGCACACCTTTCGATTCGGAATCGCGCATGAGAAGCAAACAGTTTTAACCCCTCAGAGTTGTCTCGATACTGGATTCCTAGATAATTATCTTAGACGCCGTTACACAGCTTGTGGATGTCCGGTGCAGTTATTCTAGTTGTTTGCGCATGTTGACCCGGTGGACGTAGCCGCGGGTTATGGTCTTCTGCGGTTGATTCCGGTTGTCCGATGTGAAATTGTCGCAGCATTTTTATTCCAAGACCTTTGACAACAAAGACTCGCTTAGTAAACAGGATACCCGTGGAATGCAGAAACTGGGCCAACTTACGTAGATCAAGTTTTCTTGGAAACCGTTGTCGATTGGTCAATATAATGAATCTGGGTACCAAAAACAAGCGGTACGTAGACTATTGTTTTGAAGCGGTCGGGATTCCTCGTTTAATGTCGCGTTACACGGATACCCTTGGAGTGAAGGTATCCTTGTTTAATACCCGATGCTGGTTCACACAGGTGGTAAAACTTATTCCGCTGATTTTACCAAGTAACAGCATGGTTCACCGAATGTGCAAAAACGTCTGCATTTAAAAAATCCATTTTATCTCACCAATATTTTCTTGAATTTCTATCAGAACCAAAATTCTGACTATTAACACTGCTTCCTCATAATACAAAGCCAGTGTGCTTGTGTTCCCAAGCAGAAAATGACATCACCGCGGGAGGAAATCAATGCGTATTTATGGGTCTTCATACAAGTCCGATAAAAAGAAGCCTCGAGTTAAGACGCTAGGTGAACCAGTCGCATTATAATACCCACTGATTTTTTTGACAATGAAATGTTTGTAGAACCGTTTGTAGTACTCAAGCAACTTTCGAAGACCTGTTATGAGACTGAATCAATTTTCTCGAAATAATGGAATTTAATGTGGGTAATGGAGGATTTGGTTAAGTTTCAAATGACAATTCGTCGTGTATATGGCAAATGAAGCGTGAACTGAAAAGCTCGGAAGCACTGGACAGCTGTTTCGACCTGGTTGGGTCTCATCAGCAGTGCGAATCCATCGACCCGACTGGGGATCGAACCCGGGACTTCATGGGCAGAACGCAAGCGTGCTACCCACTACGCCACCGGGCAGCTGATCAGACCGTTTTTCATTTTCCATTTACACGATATAGCACAACCCATCTTTGAGAGTTTGTTGCGGGCCACGGACCCTGCTCAACTCAGCACTAGCCTCCAGGGTTATGACTTGGTTGGAAACATTCACAACCTGACTGATTATTTCATGTGGGTAATGGAGGATTTGGTTAAGTTTCAAATGGAATTTAGTGTCAATCTCCGATAGATCACACTACAATTTCAAATAAAACAAAATAAACAATTTCAAAAAAATTGTGCTTCAAAGTTACTAAGCTTTGTTTCTCTCGTTTGTGAGTGCACTTCACGTTTTCACCGTTGCATTGACTGGTGATAAGCCGCTCGGTTGTTTCCTTACTGACTTCATTCTGAGCAGCAATATTAACCGCAGCATTATAATGCTGCAGGAATTTTTTTTAGAAAAGTTGGATGAAAATAGCTTTACTTGAAACTGTTGTCTATGACTGCTTAACACCATATTTCTTTGAGATAAATGTTTTATGCGTTTGTTTTTTATCAGAACTATACCAGACTCCTGTATCAACGGGCGCATCAGACTCGATTCACCAACCGGTTCGATCCAACAGTGCATCGTCTTTGTTTGATGGCGGAAATGGGCTTGGTGGTTTCACTTCTTGTCCATCTCCCAACATGCTTCCCTCCCGGAATACGGCTCGTTTCACGCCACCTACGATGCCTAATGGATTGGGTATGGGTCCTTCTTCTGTAACCTCCCAACCTAATTTCATCATGCCTCCTGATATGGTGGTTGGGTGCCCGAATTCCCTGGCGCCCACATCCATGTCCG